TGCAGTTGCTGCCGCTGCTGCAGCAACGCCCACCAAACAATTGACAGTCAACATGCCAAAAACCTACAAAAACCAAAAGCAAAAACAAGAAAAAGACTCAACTAAAAAAAGCAAATGACTGAGGCAGCGTCAGCTTTTGGAGCTGCGGCAATCTGATAAAGCTGCGGCTGTTGCACATGCGCATGTTGCACGCCTACAAAATCATGTTGCACGTCAATTGCAAAGCTCGCAAAATGTGCATGCGCTGCATGCGTTTTTCTTAGCTCTTTTGTAGCTTTACTTGCCTGCTTATTTAAATTCTGCAATGATTTTTTCAAAGTACTCTTCGCTGCTCGGATTGCTTTTCAAGGCCGCCCGTGCAATGTGTGTGGCCATAACTTAGTCGGGGGGAGGCGGCGGCAGCATGTTGCTGACAGACGGCAGCCAGAAAGCGGGCAGTACGACTAGCAACACCACTAACAACAGCAACAACAGCAACAACAGCAACAGCAACAGTAACAACAACAATGAAAGCGAGTGCAACACCAACGCCAAAGCCACAACGACAATATCGAATTGCGAGTTTCGCTGTTGTTGTTGCTGTTGCTGTAGCTGCTGCTGCTGCTGCTGCTGCTGTTGGGCGGCAATTGATTCTTAAAAAACGCTGACATCTTACATGTTGCAGCAACATGTTGCCGCATGCTCAATGGCTCGCGAGCAGAGATTTGCCTACGTTGTCCGCAGCGCAGCCGAGGCAGCGTTGACAAATTGTTACATGTGCTCCGCGCACTCGAAGAGCATCGCATTACGCAAAGGAAACGCAGCGTTGGCTCGAAATCGCAATTGCAATATGGCGAGCGGAAATTGAAAATTACTTAAAAATTCGCCGAATAAAACGCCCACCAAATGGCAGCGAGTAGGTAGCGGGGCGTTGTTGGTAGTACAATAATCCTTGCCGGGCCAAGCTAATAATCGCATAATACACGTTCCAAGCTAATGATTAACTTGCATCATTATCGCACAAGATCAGCGCAGCAGCAATTGCAACAACAGCAAGAACAACAGCAAACAACCCAACGCGGACTCTAAGGGCTTTGAGCTGAGCCGAGCTCAAGGTTTGGGTTGGTTTTTTTGCTCCAATCTTGAAATTAGCTGCTGCTGCTGCTGCTGCTGCCGTATCTGCAGAAGCTGTTCCGATGGGCAGGACAACAGGGCATCCTGCACTTTTACTCGATTCATTGAAGAAACGACGCGCGCTCGATGCCCGGGGCAATGCTTTGGCTGCAATCTGCTTTTATTTTATGCGCAGCGCGCTTAAAAATGCAGTCAGCGTCTCAGAAGCTGGGCTCCAGACGACACAGACAGGAACCTGCCGCTTAGGCGAAGACCTGATGGCCCCAAAAAGGCAAACGGCCCGACAGCGACAGGCACCACAGCAACAACAACAGCTCCAAGCAAAAGCAACAAAGTAAACGGCAGCAAACGCTAAAAAATAAGTTTTGCCGAGGGAGAAAATTCACTGCATCCTCCCACTTTTTGCTGCTGCTGCTGCTGCTACGTGGCCCAGGCAATTGGCTATTATGTTGCTGTTGTTTCTGATGTTGCTCTTGTATTAGCCGTTGTTGTTGTTGCTGTTGCTGCTGCTGCTCTGGAGCCAATCATTATATGCGTTTTTCATACTTTTTTATGCGGGAGTTGCTGCCGGGAGTTGCTCCTGCTCTTGCTCTTGCTGTTGCTGTTGCTATTGCTGAGTTGCTGGTTAAGAAATGCTGCTACAATTTTTGATTTATGCACGACCAAATGAGTTCGAGTTTGCGAGAGAAACAGCATACGAGAGCCAAAAGCAGTAATAAAGAAAAATTAAAATCCTGGCTGCAGCAGTGGGTACATCAACGTGCGTGCACACCCACACTTCCGGCTCTAAATTGAATGTGGGCGTGGCATGTGGTGCACACAAACGGCAACGGGCAACGAATGGCCAAATGGAATGTAGCACCCATGTTGCTGGCGGGCAATCGCAGCAGCGAAATACACACATAATTATTCTGCTGCTGCTGCTGCTGTTGTTGTTGCTGTTGATGTTGCTGGAGTCTTTTGATCGTTTGGTAGCCAAACATCAAAGTATCAAGCTTGAAGCAAACGAAAAGCGAATTGCAAACAAGTCAAGAAACCAACGACGATCGCTGAGCGACAAATCGTCGAAAGTTACAGTTTAAGTTGCTGCTTAGCTAGACTCGCGGCAACAGTTGCTTGTAGTGATTGGCAGCAGCCAGCCAGCCGTGCAGCCAGCAGATAATCAGAATTCCAACATTTTCACCTGTTGCCGTTTGCTGCTGCCTGCAGTTTGACATGTGCCGCACATGCCGTTGCCATTTGTCTGCACTTTAATGACACACCACGTCCCCAGCCTCAGCCCCAGCCCCAGCCCCAGCCACAGCCACAGATTCAGCTTCAGCTGTAGCTACAGTCACTGACTCCAATCCTCGCCTCGACGGCAGCAATCAGCTAAGCATCTTGGCGCGTTGACAATCTATGCGCATAGTTTAGCATTTACTGTTGGAATTATTGAACCACATGCGAAGTTCGACTGGCAGTCGCTGGCTGACCCACTTGCTGCACCAGCTGATGTCCGCTCACGGCTGTCACGGAGCGGAGCGGGACTCCAGCGGGCCGAGTCGCATGGTCGCATGGGCAGCCCAAACATCATCAATGGGCAGCGGGCACCACCCTTGGCCAGCCTCAAAGTGTCATTAGTATGTTAATTTCACAGAAAATTCATACGCAGCGTGGTACGCCTGCAATGCAATTGCCAATGCGCATATTTAAATGTCTGCTTAGTGCGACTGTTTCTTGTTGCGGCTACCGTGCACATACCCTAGACGCCTTCAAAACGGTCCCGGGTAGCTTAGCTATATAGTTAATATAACAAAAATAACTGATTTCATTTCAATTATATTAGTATTATTCGAATAGAATATCTTATCGAAATATCAGTTGATGCATAGTATTGGGTAATATTGATAGAGTGAGATGTTAATTAACACTAATATCAGGTGTGGTCCTGACGAGGTTGCCAGTTGGTTACATGGATGTAATCGAACGTGCTAGTGAAAATCGGACAGTTGATTAGCAAGAGGAAGAAGAGCAACAGTGCTGGAACACGCTGGACTCCATAAAATTATCTAATCTGCTGAAATATCCGACATATATATACTATACATATACATATACATATATATGATAATTATGATTTCGAGTAGAAAATAAATATAAAATTTATATGACTTTTATATTAAACCTTTTTACCCCTGCCAATTCAAACTGCTTGAGTTACCTGCATTTTAGTTTGCTCCCATGATTTTCATAAGCAATACATAGTAATAATAATTATACCTCATTGATATTAATTTTCATGTAATATATGTGTCAGGATTATTATTTGATACATTATATATTTTTTAAACTAAATGCAAATAAAATATTAAAATACAATAT